GAGGTGGCGAAACGTCTTCAAATCTTGGAAACCAAGTCCAGTGGATATTTTTTGAATTTTTACGGAAAAACATAAGGGAAGTGTTTCTATTAGTTTATTTATTTTTATTACAGAGATTTTAAATGCTGGCTGATATTAGTATATCGGAACCCCAATAGAAAACCGTCCACTACACTTTTTTTCACAATAGTTGTATGACTATTACAGAACAACACTGCTGCCAAAGCACTACAACCGCAAATACTCTTAAAAATCAAGCACAGGTCTACGAGGTCTGTATTGGTGAATCATTTTAGTGGCTGTAGAGAGTAGAAAGTGAGTGGCTGCTGTTCAAAGAGCTGAATTAATGAGGATGGCTAAGGACATGCATGAATCAAGTAAAACACCACATTAAATATGATTTTAAATAAGTATAGCATTGTATTATAGTTAAAAACTTTAGAAAAGTTTCATGATACAGGCTCTTTAAAAAAGTTGTGCATGAAAAATGTGACTAAGAATTGAAAAATTTTAATACTATTACCGATCGCTGAAGTATCATCATGCCCAGGGTTATAAATTCTAAAGGTTTCAACGTAATCAGCGTCAGGGAGCAATTATTAATACATTTTTTTAAGCTTACTTTCTTTTGTAGGTGCTGTATCATGCTCAGCTGCCTTTGTGAGCTGATGGCAGTCTTATCGATGCAGGGTGCATGTCTTTACAGTGTTCCCATCGTATATTTGCAAACAAGACGGCAAATGTGTTGAAAAACAAAGATTCTACTGCCGTTACACTCACTTAAAGTCAGGGTATCAGCATAATTCTATTATAATTTTAAAGGTTTCAGCGTAAATACCCCTGGAAGGAAGCCCAGTTATTAAACGGGGACCATAACAGCAGGTTACACTGAAATCCACAAGCGAGAACCCTGATGGCACGGTTTTAGTTTTTCACACTTGGCTTTTCAAACTTAAATTCATTCTTGTTTAATAAATCTGTTGTGATATTTTATATATTCTATATCTTGAGGACAGAGTTGAATAACTTTAGCACCTTCCACATATTGGTAGATATGAATAACTGGTAAAACAACTGAATAAAACCATAACCATTTTTGAAAATGTTCTTAGATTTCCTTTGTGTTTCTTACTCTTTCAGTATTTGTTGGTGTTCCTGTCTAAGTCTATGGTTTGCCTCCAACAGATTTGAGTTTTCCCTCTCCAAATCTGTGCTGTGCTGCAGAGACTTTCCGATCATCTCCCGGATTAACTCTGAAGGATCTGGAGCTGGTTGGAGCTCCACGGAGCCCAGGTGTACCTAAATGCCAAAACAGTGAAAGAGAAATATGAAACAATGATTAAATAAATTAAGGAGAACGATCATATTTGATTGTTCTTGTATTTTTGCTTTAAAACTGCAGAGAAAGTAAAAAATAATCTGCAGCTTCTCTGGCATTATCATTTATCGGTGGCTGAGAAGCCAAGCAATGAAATCACTTCAATTATTAAGCTCTCACAACTCCAGACAGATCTGACTTTGTCCAACTAACTGTGCTGACACTGAAACACAAGTGGATGCTTGTAGTGAAGCTGGAAAAATCCTGAATAAAGTCCGCCTGGCACTGTAGTCTTGACATTGACGCATAAAATTGTTGACTTGCCTCACCTAGCTTCCAAAAATCAGCTACCTATGAAAAATGAGTAAGCATTTGCACCTTTCTGTCATCATGAGGAGTTCTGCAATGGTATGGCATTTAATTTTCACTGAAGTAGGAGACTGTTTGAGCATGAGGCTATTTCTTGTGTCTGAGAGAAAGCAGAATGACTTCATCAGTCACCAATAAACTATGCCAGTGAGACATCTCCCCTCTGTTGTATCTTAAGCACTATGGAAAAATAGACATCATTCCAAAGCAAGAAAACGTTCCTCCCTGCCTTCCATTTTGGCATTAAATTAGAGAACAGGCTTGAAAAAAGCTCTTGCAAACTGTACACAATGACATTGTCAGACTTTTATCTGATGTGTAACAATTTTTTTTATCTCACGGTAAAATGCCGATTTTATCACTTATAGCCACACCCTATTTGCCTGTTGCCCTGGTAATAGCAGCATGTTCACACACAAACATACAACTTAAGGTACACTGAAAAACCAGAAGGTAACACGGTGTTAAATCTTTACTAGGCCATGGAGAGGTTGAAGACTCACTGCTACAAAGCCTCTACTTTCAAAAGCTCTCATGAAACAGCTGTCATTGTTGACCTGGACTGATGCTGTCCCGGCAGGCCACACAGCTATTTTCCCTTCCTTCACTGAACTTGTACGTGCCACTTAGCAAATACCGACTTCACAATGCCTTTACAGATTTGTGCATATGTTATCCAGCATTCTATATCCTTTTTTGTGTGTTTTTTGTGTAAATGTTGCTTTTCGTCATCCTTTTCTTCTCATTATGTGAAAGGAGAACAAATAATCCTTGTCTATGCCAACCTGAATTATCTCAGGGTGCTGGGGACTGTCACTCACTGGGCGAGATGCAGAATACATCAGTGAGACCTAGTCCATCACAGAGCGACATGTGTTCAAACAAGACAGATAACTATGCATTTTAACACTCATACCTATAGAATATTTCAGGGAAACAATCAACAGCCGTGTTCTTGGACTGGGATATAAGAACCAATAACCTAACAAAGAGTAGATTTAAAAAGATTGTTTAGTTCATGTTCCAAACCCAGCTACCTGGCATGGATTTTAAACATGGGATCATTGTTTGCTTAGTTTAATGTTTTTAGATATTATTTTGAGTTCCAAAACTGATCTTTTTCATGACATCATGGAACCATAGAGAGTTATTAGCCATCCAGGATACCTTTAAAGCATTGCAGAAGTGATCTAGCTGCTGAAATATGGATCACCTCCCACAATGCGATTCAATCACGGGTTGCATGCCTACAGTAAAATAAAGTAATATCTTAGTTGCACCAATAATAAATTCTTTTTTTTTAATGATTATTACCTGTCCAACCAGAGTCTGCAGGTCCATGTAATACATACTGAGTCTTAGCACTGATAAAAATATCTACCCACACTATTACAGACAAAAACAAATGACAGCTAATATTGTACTGTTATTTTTTATAACCTTAGATGCAACTGCTTATCTCTCACATAAAATCTTAAATGCAGACATTTAGCAAATCTGATTATTCAACACACAGATTGATGCAACCACATTGTGGGTTTTAAGAATCTTTGTTCTAAAAATTCAACAATGAGGATCCCCACTCTTCCTGTTTTATTTTTATACTCGGTTCAGATTTTTTACTTCTTTGCAGAAATTTTAGAGTAACTTCTTTTCAGCTACTTTGGCACTGCACCAGACCACTCCCTGCACCTAGAGGTGACTAGAGCAAATCTTGATGGGATTAGTACAAGAAGCAGACCACCCAGAATTAAAGAAAGAGGATCCAGAGAATAAAAAGAAAGTTCCAGTACCATCAACTTGGCTCTGGTGGCCAGTGCAGAGGTCTCTCATGGAGGGAATTAGTGTGACTGAGCCTAATGAGTCATCAGCATGTTGATGTAGCTGTGTTCTGGTTAGATGGGTGGCAAGATTGTTTTGTTTGGCTAGTGTGGTAGAAACACCCATTAAGAATGGATAGTGGTTGTTAAATCAAATTTCAGCACTATTCAAGGAATTGTATCTAATTCAAGGATTTATAAACAGGGTGGGATACATTTTACCATATGTTTGCATGGGTTGAAAGGCTGCAAATATGTAAAGACAAAAATGTCTTAGCTTTGATCTTCCTCTTCCTCTAACCTCCAATCCAATCAATCGTCCCTTCAACCCAATCCCATACATCTTGCAATGCACCTAAGGAGGGTCAGTTAAAAAAATCAGCCACATATGATGGATGTTGGCAAAACGTTTAACTCTGACATGGTGTGTAGAAAAAATATATGCATTTTAAAGAACATTACTTCCACCTTTTACAGCAATATCTGGACATTTGTGAATCTTCACTCTGCCTGCCAACAGCATTTAGGGAAAAAACTCTTCCATAACTAACACTCAACTAGTTAAAGGCACCATAAACATCTAAACCTGTGGTAGGACTGGCTCTGTTTACTGAATGAGCATCAGAAACGAACCTCAGCTGTTGTTTATTTATTTTGCTCCTGCTGACTTTTAAATACCAAAGGTTTCATGTTTCTCCATCCTTAAACTTCAAGGTTTTCTTAGAAGACCTGCAGCTGTAAACACAAGCATTTCACATCACCAAGGGTTTACCTTTGTTGCATGGAAAGGAAGAAGGATATTAAACAGTCTATAAATCTGAAAGTCTATCCAAGCACTGTGTTAAGTATTACAGAGATAGTGGTAATTAGACTTTTCCTTTCTCAATTTGTTTCTCCTGACACAGAAACTTAAAGGTCACTTGGCATGCTGATGCCAACTTGTGCCAACATGTGGGAGGTCAGACTCTTTGTCTGTGATGGAAAACCCACTGCCACATTCCTCTCTTTGACAGAAACAATAGTAAAAGAAAGATTTTATCCACAGTAAAAATTTCCGCCTCTAAAAGCTTAACAAAATTAAAATGATTCAGTACTCTATTTTCCAGGATACAAAGATACATAAAATAAAGTAAATTTGATAAATTACTTCACATTTTTGGGGATCTGAGATCAAGTTAATACTTGTTGTATCGTAAAAGACTTACTGATTTTAACAACCCACAGTTTATCCACATATGTTAAAGTAAAAAAACTTAAGGTTTATTCAACACAATGTGGTTCAGAGTGTGTGGTCTAGAAGTTTGTTTGTGTGTGTCCGTCTAAAGACACTCAGTCAGACCATAAGGTCAGATGTTGACGTAGGTGTGCAGCACAACTGTCCCAGTGAAAATGATACCATAACATGCTGTGGGTGCTGAAAACAAAGGGTTTTTTTATCTCACCCCTCAAATCAAGATGTACCATATGTTAACAAAAAAAAACAATAATTTGATGATTAACCGACTGACATATCAGAGCTTTGGTCTTTTACAGTGGCTTCTAATCATACTCATATCTCTTAAATTTTTCCACAGTTTCGCATTTTTAAATCTCAATCCAACCAATACAAATCTGTGCAATAGAAATAAAAAACTCAAAAAATTTAAATGGAATTAATTGTTTAGAGTAGTCACAAAAGTTAAATTTCTCCTCAACTAATAATCTAGCTCAATACCATATCTATCTTTTCTGTGAAGGCCTCTAAGATTTGTTAGGGAGCATTAGTGGACAAACAGCACCATGAGAAAAAAGAGGAAAAAAAACTAACTAAGAGGTATCCATTCAACAAAATTAAGAGGCTGGATAAGGAGAGTGTTGTTTTCGTAACTCTGGAGGAGCTGTAGAGAGGAAAGAAAAGCAAGTCAGGGTTAGTATTTAGATGAGCATAGCTAAATACAGAGCAACAGAGGTGAAAAAAAACACTTTAGGTAGGGGTGGAGGATCATCTTCCAGCAGGAAAAAAAACCCCTGTAAAACAAGGGCTTCATCTAAATTTTTGCCAAAGCCAAATATCCAATTCAGACACAGGTTTTGTTGAAAAAATTGCTGTTAATGCACATATTTCCATCAAATCTGGTTAAAAGGTATTTTGCACACAGAAATTCAGTGTCTAGATGTGCAAAATTGGAAAGGATATACACCAAAGAATGGGCAGCTGTAATGCTGCAGATAAAGGTAGAACAAACAAAGTATTATGTTACAAGGGCTGAATGCAAATGCATGCTGTGCTTTTTCAGAATAGTTGTTGTTAAATAACTAAAAAAATAATAATAATGTAGGCCTGTTTTTCCACTTTAAAATCTGGTTCTATTTTATGTTGATATATTATATAACATAAGTAAAATATATATAGATTTGTGGTTGGAGTGTAAAAATGCAAATCACTACAATTAAAGAACATTGACAATCTTTTTTAATCTTCAGTCTTTAAATAACTATTTCGTCTACCAGACAGAGAAGTGGGTGAGTGAATGCGCCTGATGATGATAAACAGTGTTCAAGGTTTGGCGTGGTTACTTGGTATGGAAGAAGTGGGCACAGAAGTTGAGATCAGCTCGTCTTCTCACCACCAGGATCTACTGTGAAGGGGCGTGAGGCCCGATAAAGAGCAGGAAATGAGGGGCGACAATCAGTTCATTCCTGTGATAATGCAGACTTTTACAAGAATGGCAAGCAGGTTACCAGACAGGAGATAATATAGAAAGATACTTTAAACACTTGCTCTTCAAAGAGATATCTGCCTTAAAAAAAAT